CTACAAGTTCACTAGCAATGAGAAGGAAAATACAAATGAGCAATGTTTTAAACTCATAAAATCCTAATACTAATATATATATAGTAACTTAATGATATATATATCATTAAGTCACTTACACTTCATATCATTTCTATTAACAATTTATAACAATAAATGATTTTGGCCGTCAAATATGCAACTCAGTGAGTTCGTCTCAAGAAATAACATTATACTATAAAAAAGAAAATATGTGTGGTATTACTTGAAAAAATAAATTTGACTTTTGAATTTTGCAAGAAGTAATGTACAATACATAAATGTGCTTCTTTATTAAGCATTTCTGAATTTTGCAAGAAGTAATGTACAATAAATGTGCTTCTTTATTACAAGCAATATTTGTAGAAATATTTTAGTCACAAGTTCAAATTTTCATAAAATCGAGTTTACGGGATAAAAATAAGTCATTCAGGTTGTAGACTTACAATTGGTAACTAAAAAGAAGGCATATCTAATTATGTTGTTCATAAAGATATCGTATTTCAATCAATTTTTTTCTAATACTTTTAAATACATATTAATAGACAAATATGTACTAAATTTTTCATCCCAATTTCCATTAGTCGCTGTTTATATTCCTTCATTGATGAAGTACCATTCAATTCAATAAATAATTCTCAAAAAAGATTTGGTAACACTGTTCATATATTTTTAATTTTAATTTTCCCCATTAGTAGTGCTGCGATCGCAAAGTCGATAAAACAGGATGTGACTAGAAAATAGTAAGGTTATGTCGGCCTTATTACCATGACCGCGAAAATACATGGTCATGGTCATCGTAGTAAATCTGATCACAAAAAAGATTTCAGCGATTTTGGAGAAATTTAAATTTTTACAATTTTCAACAATAAAAATAATTAATAATCATTAATTTCTCACCTACTACATAAAGTAAAATCGTTTCTCAGAATACGAGTTTTAGAGCTGTAAGAGGAAATGCTACATGTTTGAAAATGAGATCAAATGAACATTTTTCTACTTTCTATTTTCTTTCATAAAGCAATGACAGTTTAAAAATCGACAGTTTTTCATGCAGTATTGCATTGGTGATTACATTCATTCACCAATGTATAATCTTTTACTAACAATAAGTGTTAAAATTCATATTCAAATCTTTCCGCCAAGATATTTAATCTACAGTTATCCTTAAAGGTTTTCTGGTATCGAAAACCGGTGAATGTAAAAAATAGTAACTCGCCACCTACCGAGCGTGCAAAAACATTGATTAATTGTAGGTTAGTTAACATTACAAAAATTCTACTGGTTAGAATTGAATTCTAGCAGATTTCGAGTTCGAGCTAAAATGCAAGTTTTACTTTAAAGATACACAATACAAACACAAATCTAACAGATTTTCTGGAAAATACTTTCTTCTTTACAGATGATATGTGCTTCTTTCCGCCATGCTTCCCGCTTAATAATCGATCATGAGAAATATCGATTATTTCGAGAATCGTAGAAAGTGTGTTGCTCATTTTATCGTTGGCGCTGTAATCGCCAATTTAAACCCAATGCATGCGCATTTCAAACAAAATGTTAACTGCGACAAAAATAAAAAACACTGGTCTAACTCAAAGTTACACAAAATTCATGAGAAATTCTTCAAAAAGAACGAGAACATTCATACACTAGATGAAAAATTTGGTAGTGAGTAGTAACATAATACTTTTTCATATTTAAGAAATTTTACTTCCCATTATGTTTAACAAATACTTGTTTTTTATTATATGGATAATATAAAAAATGGATCATATAAAAAATAAGTATGTATAATATCTTTACTCTGCATTTTTTGACAATAGCTTGCATGTTTCATTAAGATGTACATTAATGAAATATATATTAATATTATTTATTCATTGAATAAAATAAGGAATTAAGCTGATCTTTTTTTTTTAGTTTTTTCGTTAATGTGATATTTTTTTCTTTTTTTACATTTTTGAAAACAAAGATTGAATACAATACAGATTATATCTACAATTTAAAAAAAGTTTATTTAAATTCACATGTAATGGAAAAAAATTATTTTAAATTTTTTTAATAGTTACTATCACATGTGAGGATTCTGACAAATAATAAAATTTGTTTTGAGTTTTAATGTAACATTTATATTAAAAGGAAATTACGTAACATAGATTTACTGCTCCCCAAAACAACAAATAAGATAAAGAAGCTAATATTTTACAATTTATGTATAATGAAGCTAATCGATCAGTATTACGATTTAGTAACTTTCTTTTCACATAAAAATTTAAACACATCGTGTATTTACATGATCACTGGTGTATTTGTACATTACGCTATGTTCACAAAATAATTATTAAGAATACTCGCAATTTCTTGCTTTTTTTGTATTAATAATATAATAATATTAATTTGTTTCTCCTAAAAAAGTGTTTGAATTATAAACAATGATTTTAATACATGCAGGAGATCGAAAGCTTCACTAATTTCTATTCTCCATGCCAATGTCTATCTTGCTATCAATGTTAATGTTATCTTGATGCACAGCTATATTTGATCATAATTACATTTTTGCATTTCTTTTATTAATAATTTTACAGCTGTGAGTTATGTTATCTTAAAGAGCAATTATATACATTAATTCACGTTATAAATATAAGTTATTATACATTTATATCTATATGTTCAGTTATATAGTAAATAATATTTTGAGCAGATTTTCTATTCAAAAAGAATGTAATAAATTATGGAAGATGGTATCCAACTTTTATTAGGTAACTTTTTGTATAAAAAACAATTTGAAAAAAAAACAATAATTTTATGCAGATATAAAAAACCTAATAATTTTTCATGCCAATTAACAATAAACAATCCTTATTATCTTCAATATTCAGGTCGAAAACATTTTTTTACAATGGAAGAATCAAGACCACATAGTCTTCTTTGGCAGGTATTCTTCCCACGTTTTAAATGAGACATTAAATTATGCTATTAATTAGCATTGGTACTCTTACGATTGTTATATTCCATATTGATAAGTATGCAAATATATTTTTTTATGTAACGATAACACACGTTAAAAGTTTCAATTATATCTCTAGAAAAAAAAAAATATATAAAATTTAATACTTTCTTTTTCGTAGAAGCGAATATTTCTAGCAACAAAATCTATGTTCATTCAATGTGATATTGTCATAGAGAGATCTTTATATCAATCATTATTCGGTAAATGAATTTCGTACGAATGTGATGTTGGAAAATATTCTAGAAAATATTCTAGAAAGAAGAACAATCCAGCAGAGTTACCAATTCTAATATACACATTACAACTATTCCTAAAAATCATTTTATTTACATTTATGATTGGCTAGTGACAATATCGATAAAAATCAGGTCATATGTGCACTATAGAGCGAAGTTAGTCTCTTTACATTCGTTTGTTGTATCTCTCGTTTGCAAGATGTATCTGGGCACTTAGTGAGCGATCCATCGCCAAAATAATGACATTTCGGCAGCATTTAAACACGGTTAGAGAAACATCATAACGTTGTTCATATATTACTTATTCTTAGATACCGTCATTACGGGCATGATGAACCTTCTCGTTTTAGTACGTAAAATTTATAAAAATAATATCCTCCCGCCTTTCTTCGGTTCCTCTTTCTCTCTTTCCTTTTTGTTTCTCATAAAATTCCGCAAATATAAACATCTTAAACTTTTATGTTACAAACATACTATAAGTATCATTATCAACAATCGTCACGAGTGCGCTTAACGTGAAATATCAACGATCATCTGCATGTTTGTTCATTCTTTTTTTTTTCCGCCTACAACCTGTCATATTAACGACACGTTATTTTTTTTTTTTT